AAACCGACCGTTCGAGCGACAAAACGGATCACGTGACGACGTTTGTACCATACAAACGATACAAACGTCGTCACGTGATCCGTTTTGTCGCTCGAACGGTCGGTTTCAGCGGCTCGTGAACATCCAGCTTTAAGCGTCGTCTACAATGGCAGCAGGAGTATATGTATGTACAGTAATGCTAGGTCTACAATGCGAGTCGTAAAGTCGTGAGTCGTAAGAATTGACCAATCACAATCGATTTTGAGGAGAATAATCGACTGTGATTGATCAATTTTTACGACTCACGACTTTACGACTTGCATTGTAGACCTAGCATTAAGACGTAATGACGTCCTTACGTAAGACGTAAGAAGTATAAGACGTAAGCAGTAAGCTATTGACCAACCGTAGTCGATTATTCTTGAATTACAAAAATCCCATTAGTCAATAACTTTACTGCTTACGTCTTACTGTATACTCCTGCTGCCATTGTAGACGACGCTTAACTCCTTCACGACAGTTTCGGTATCGTTGCGTAGCTTTTTTACCATATATAATACCATTAATACCTGCGCAACGATACCGAAACTGTCGTTAAGGAGTTAGGCTGCGGTCATATGGCATGTATTTTTCGCGTAACGCGTAACCGCATAACGAATTAGAAGCGTTTTGCATTTGCGGTTACGCATATTCGCGCTTCTGATTGATTACGCGATACGCGTTACGCGGAAAATATCAGTTGGCGTAGGCACCCAACGGTCATCTGCAACATTTCCCGCGATTCAGACGGATCTCAATGCAAAGAATCCCAAGATGACTAGCCGAACGCGTAGATTCGAATTACTTTTCGCGAAAGATACACGTAAACACTCGAAATTTGGTCTGCCACATATAACGCCTCACACTAACTATTATTCGCGATAGAGAAACGCATATCTCTAACTAGGGTCCGGAAAATAGAAACGTTATCCGCAAAACAGAATATGACTCGCCCCAATAGAAGCGCAAACTCGAAATAGTGTCTGCGAAATCGGAACGCAAAACTCGAACTATGGTTCGCAACACCGAATTGTTATCCGCAAAATATATTTATTGGGTTCTATCGCCGTGACACCTCGCATATACATCTTATTCGTTTCGTACACCTCTTTATAAACCACCTATTCCGGACTGATTTTCCGTAGAACGCACGAAGAATGCATGAACACAGGTTCCTCCATTTCTGATGGAGTTCTGAAAGATGGTTCAGAATGGAGAGGTCGCATTCAATAGGTCTTAATTATCGATGACAATTAATAACACACCATACCTAACCTTTAAAGCATATTTCCACTTGGCCTTATCCTGATCCTCTTTTAGATCCGCCACACCTGCAAGAACTATTATTTGTTTCTAATACTTAAATTAAATGTATAAATTTGGATACTTTGTATATAAATTAAATTATCTATATGTGCTCTCTATTGTGCGCAGGCGTTATGTCTACGCTACCATATCTGTCAATATGGCTGCGTTCAGCAGACACAACTGTTTAGTTCGTCTTATCAACACTCTGCGTTGATTGGTTGGTTCTAAAAGTAAGACTAGCCGCGTTCAGCAGACACAACTGTTGAGTTCGTTTTATCAACACGCTGCGTTGATTGGTTGGTTCTAAAAGTAAGAGCCAATTACGTTCGACTGCTATTGAGCGGCTTGGTTTGCTGAACGCGCCCAATCATGTTCGATTGCTACTGAGCGGCTTGGTCTGCTAGGCCGCGTTCAGCAGACACAACTGTTGAGTGTTGTCTTATCAACACGCTACGTTGATTTGTTGAGTCTAAAAGTAAGAGCCAATCACGTTCGATTGCTACTGAGCGGTTTGTTCTGCTGAACGCGCCCAATCTGTCCGCTTCGTCATAACAGTTCTGCGCGTCTACCGTCTCCTGTAGAACGCAATAAACATGGTGCTTGGTATCGACATCGACGAGGAGAAGGAAGACGTGCCGTATTGAGAAAATTAAATGTAACGCTGCGAACGCAAATTTTCATTCGATAACGTCGCTGGCGTGAAAAAGACGCGATTTGGTGATCTCGGAAGCAGTCAACGTGATGGTATCGCTCGGAGAAGCGCGACGTGAGAGAAGATCAGCGTCAGAGATCGCATTTGCAAAATGGTACGGAAACATGCTTGTCAGTCTAAACGACGATCAATCGCGAGAAACCTTTAATGATCTTCGAAGGCAAATCTGGTATTTCATTGTTTTCCCGTGGCCCGATCACATTTTTAATGTCTGTCATCCATAGATCATCGGCCTCGAATTCGTACAAGGTGTTTTTAAATGTACCGCCAAATTTTTTTCACAGCTGTCTGACATCGCGTTTTTCCATTTGCGCCCTCCCATATCAAAGGTCCGACGTTTACGTCTGTTGTGTTTCGTGATCGGCGGCAGCCGATTTAACGGAGGGCCGAGAATATTATCCGACATTTACTGATCATGCTTCTAATTGATATATTATGTTGATAGGTTGTGTACGATATGCGTGATCAATAATGCAGACCAAAATCCTGCGCTAAAGTCGGAGTGATTGGCGATGTATGCCGTGGGGACAAATCACTGGGACATACTCGTCTGTTGTTTATGTCATTTTTGTTAAGTGACGAGTCATGCCCGGCGAACCGCCAGCCACAGCTGGAAGTAAATCCAGTGGCAAGGCTAAGAGGATCTCTATACCTCGTGTGCAAAGTAGTACTGACACAGAACTACAATCGCAACAGAGTCAGAGTGGTTCGACCCCACTGCAACCCACCGCGTTACACTATGTCACTTTCCGTTCCGAGTTAGAGGACAGCCCTATTCCACCGGCCCTGCGATGCCGTTTGTATGATCTCTTTCAGCAAATCGAAAAAGAATTTGAAATGTTATACACGGAAAATCTTGGGTGTAAATATCTCTATTTATTTTCTGTTTTATTTAATTCATCATGATTTGATATACATATTGAAGCTGTTGCGTTTCTCATTATAGTGCAGGAGAAGATTGACATCCTAAATGACAGACTCGAGAGAGAGTGTTATGGATCGGGCGAGCGCAGTTTACCTCCTGGAGATCTTACGGATTACCCAGAAACGAAAAATCTATCCAAGCAGAAATGTAAGACTGATTTTAATATTAATGTCAATGTTACATATAGAAATGCATTTTAATTTGTGTATTATATAAGGAGTTAAAAAAAAATAGTTCAGAGTACTATACTTTTAGAGGACTATTATAAATATATAATAGTCACATAATAATATTGATTAAACTATATATTAGAAATTATTTTCCTAAATTATTTTCATTTCTGATAAAGTCAACTTCTATGTATTTTTTATTCAGTTCCGTAAGTATTCAACTTCTCTAAATTCTCAATCTTCTTTTTAAGTGCTTTGTATATATATATATACATATAGCTTATACATACCCTTGTATATAATATCCCTGTTTATAATATCTATTATATAATTTTATGACATTTATATTTTCCCTCTATCCATCTATCTATTCCAGGAGATTTTATAAGAATGATACAAAAAAAATAAAATAGCTAGTATATGGTAATCATTTTTTTAAATTTAATAATAACACTATTATGTTATTATTTAGTTCCCTTGGATTGTAATAATCTTCTTTATGTTTTTAGCAATGGGTGCAAACTCGGCGCAAAAGATTAAAACTTCTCACAAGTTAAAAGCACAGACAAGTAAAATAGTATCGAGCTTTAAAACTCCGTCTATGACATGCACTATGCAAAGAGAGTACGTAGGTCATCGAGATGGTGTGTGGGAGGTATCCGTAGGCAGATCAGGTCAACCCATTATAGCAACTGCTTCTGCCGATCATACAGCGCGTATATGGACAACAGATAACAGCCGATGTCTATTACAATATATCGGTCACAATGGATCCGTGAACTCGGTTCGATTTCATCCAAATAGAGAATTGGCTTTATCAGCGAGTGGCGACTGTTCCGCTCACGTGTGGCAGGCAGCCGTCGATTGGGATATGCCGAAAAGAGTAACATCATTAGAAGAAATTCCAGTAGCCGGTTCTGAACGATCTACCGCTAATAATCTAATCAGTAATAATGATGAGCAAGACGACCCCCCGACTCTAAGGACGCCGATACGTGAACTTTTGGGTCATACAAACGTTGTAATGGCTGCAGATTGGCTTTCTGGTGCTGAACAGTTAGTTACAGCTTCTTGGGATAGAACAGCAAACTTGTATGACACGGAAACCGGAGAAATTATACACACGTTATGTGGACACGATCAAGAATTGACTCACGTGTCGACGCATCATACGCAAAAATTATGCGTCACGTCCAGCAGAGACAATACATTCCGATTATGGGACTTTAGAGAACCAATACACTCGGTTTCGGTATTTCAAGGTCATACAGAGTACGTGCACTGAGATTAGCAATAACAGTAGTTTTTTTCTAATTAATATTTAGTATCTATCTATTCTTCATATAACATTAAATGTATAAGATTAATACCTAGCGTGTCTCTCACAGAACGGTAACGTCTGCAGTCTTTACAAGGGAAGATAAAATTGTATCTGGCTCAGATGACAGAAGTGTAAAAGTATGGGAATTGCGTAACATACGTAGTCCGTTAGCAACAATACGTGGGGATAGTGCTGCTAATAGACTATCAGTTTCTAGTACCGGGATAGTGGCAATACCACATGACAATAGACAAATACGTTTATTTGATCTAAGTGGTCAACGTTTGGCAAGGTTACCTAGAACCAGTAGACAGGTGAGAAAACATTACATATTATAATTATTATGGAAATTTCTCTTTTTAATTAATCAACTAAATAATATAACGTTTTATTAATACATATTATCTGTAATAACACTAATAACAAGTAAAAGGAGACTTTGAAACTGCTGGGACTAGAAAAAGTCATGCAGTTATTATAAATAATCTTAGATATTTAAACGCTATTATAAAAAGTAATAAACTTTAAATATATTTTGCTATTTCTCACATTATATCAATATGCAAAAATAATACTCAAAATTCTTTAATTTTATATATATCTATGTACATATATTACAAGAATATCTTATTAAAAAATAACAATTACATTTGCAGGGCCATCGTAGAATGGTGTGTTCTGTCGCTTGGTTGGAAGATAACAGTGTGTGTAATTTATTTTCTTGTGGTTTTGATAGACTAGTATTAGGTTGGAGTGTTCTTCCCATTAAAGATGCTTAAACATCACAAACTGTGTGGTTTTATCAGGTATTTTATGTCATGTTAGTGTGATATTGGGAATATTTAGGTGCAATCTAGAAATGGAAGTACATATGTAGCCATACAGTAAAAATCCAGCAATTAATCCAATTAAAGATCCTCCCCTTCCACTCTTGCAGACAACTGCGATAGAAAAAAATACCAAAATGTATGTATTATTAAGTAATTGATCAAAGAAATTATAAATAGAATGTGAATTTTGAAGTTGCAATAAAACTATAAATGTCTTATGTAAGTAAACGTTGTTAAATGGATTCTTACCTGAGTATGCAGTTAAGAGACATAAAACGGTGTAACCTTGAATAAGAAGGTAATACGGACCCGAGGCTATGTGCCGCCACACTATTCCCAGAAATCCCAATAATTTACCACAGCCTCCGACAATTAGAGCGCGACTTAAATCTTTTATGCTATATTTGTATGGTTTTTTACCAATGATAAACCATTTTAATTCAGTCACTATAATAACTGTACAAATAAATGCTGCAAAGGCGAGCGCTGTGTGTATCAGCAAATTGTAAAAATTGCAATGATCTTGTAATGCATCATCACGAACTAAATCCACTTCTGATGCAGGTAATTCTGTCTCGTTTATGTCACAGAAAGACCAAGCCCTGAACGATTCGGTTAGCCATAATATTATACCTAGCTTCCAATATGATTTAAAATTACTGTTATACAAAAGATGTCTGTAAGCTGATTTTTCTATCAGAATCAAGTCTACAAAAACTATAACAGGATCATATTCGATATATTTGTCAGCTAATAATCCACATTTCTCCTAAAATAATGCAAAATTAAGCAATGCGTAATATAAGCACATAGTTTTACGTTTTACTTACACATTTTAAAATTTTAAGGACACTGGGGCAGTATCTCCTAAAAAGCTCTTTGCATTCAGCTCCACAATTTATGCAAATATACATTTATAGATGCAGTCAATTATTATCTGAAATAATAATCAGTAATGAATAGTTAGTAAATATATATTTTTAATATTTATGTATGTGAATTTATAGAAATGACACTAACAGTTTTAAAAATAAGCAAAGATAGTCACTTATACGCGTATGTTGGAATGCTTAACATCTATTATTATGCTGTTTAGACACATTTCCATGCAATCTAAGAGGATTAAAATTAAAGTGCACGAAACATATGTGAGACACTTGGCATTTAGGGGCTAACAAAATATGTACTCTGCATTTTATATATATATATATATATATATATATATATATATATATATATATATATATAACATATAAAGAGAAACTTTGGGATCTGCCTTTCATTATATCGGCAATTTCTCGTACTTTCTGCATATCGAGGTTCAGCAAATATTGACTCAGAGATAAACCCTCTCTCTAACGATTTCTCATGTCAAGAGATAAATTTCTTTGAAATCCTTTATTTAATTCTATTAATTTTATTTCATTTTAATTTTTTTTTACATTTACAACACAAATTCTCGGAATTAAGTAGAAATATTACATCACTCGCATAACGCATTCAATGTGCCTATTGACAAAAAAAATTACATTCGCAAAGGAAGAGTTAGCCTTAAATTGATCGGTTAAGTGATTACAGGAATATAAAAATACTTACAATAGTACTATTAAATAGTGTTACAGACTTCTACACATAAATTACCTGAGGCGGAATTCTGTAACTTCTTAACGATAGTTTCGGTATCGCGCGCGTTGCGCAGCTTTTTTACCATATATGTATAATACCTCCGCAACGATACCGAAACTGTCGTTTAAGGAGTTACATATATAATCCCGCTACTGGATTACTAACATCAATAACATCTATAAAGATAGAAAAATTGATAAGTAGAAGGTGGAGATAGATATATAAGTAGTAACTATATCTCATTGTTAGACAAATATCATATCAGATATTTAGATTTATATTGATTGTTATTAATAGACATAGCAAATCATCACAATTTTTTGTTTATTAAATATTATGAAATATTAATATAAGCTTTTCTATAATATTAATACAAAATGGGATGTTGAATGTTGAAGTAGATTTGATATGACTACTGTTTTTCTTCTGGCTTCGTATTTAAGCATTTAAAACATATAATATTAATTAAATAGCAGAAAAATATTTATATAGATATATATATATAGGATGTTGTAAAAGACTTCGAAAGAGAGAGAGAGAGAGAGAGAGAGAAGAAGAGCGTACTTTCTATTTTTCTTTATGAATATATACTATATAGATACTCCTAAAATTTTGAACTTTTCAGTTTTTATCCTCTACATTCTTATTTTTTATCCTGTGTAGGTATGCCTATAACTTCTTGTCTTTCCACAGGCAATTTATAATATTTGCACCAATCATATCTGACAAGGGAGATTCGGAATCCTAAAAATTATTAAAAATCTGAAATTTTGCAGATAAACTGGAACTTTGCGGAATAAAGTACAAGTGAACTTAATTACGTAGCAGTTTTCTGTTTTGACTGACGGTTCTAAGGATGAAAATATTCCTTCAAAAAAAACCTGACATAATATTTTTATTAATATCTCAGAAACTGTAAGAGATGTTGCAAAAATATTAAATACAACAGTTTATAGTTTTTTCTTAGCCTACAGTATGATAAAAGATTTAAGAAACATTTTTTTTATTGTTTCTCCCATCATTTCCTTAATCAGTTTTGTCATAGTTGCATAACATGCTCGAAAAGATAAACATTTGCGCGCTATGGAAATCATGTGCTAATTTCGCATTACTTTATATTATATTATTTATAGGTATTGTACATCAAATAAATGTTAACACTACTTATTTTTACGTCGAATTGCTTGTTGTATTTTTAGAATACTTCAATGTGTTTTCGGACATTAAGAATTATATTTACGTTTTAAAAAATTATAATCTCTAATACTTTAATTGATATAAAAGGCTTATGAGACATTTATTACTATCGACCAATAAAAATTTCATAAATTGAAAAGATGGCGGGAAAAACGTTAACAAAATTTTTTAAATTTTTTATATTGTAGACCATAAAAAAATCATAAACTCCTCTCTTTTATATTTAATATTTTTTTTTTATCTCTTACAGTTTCTAAGATATTAACAAAAATATAAAAAGTTATTATTCTGAAGGGGTATTTTCATTTTTAGACCCGTTTATCAACCGAAAAATATTATGTGATTAGGTTCATACATACTTTATATCTGCAAAGTTTCAGATTTTTAGAAATTTTTAGGTCACAGAATAGTAGTATAGACCCTTTATATAGAAGTCTACAAAGTTGTTGATAACAGGTAAGTGAGAAGAAAAAGGTAGTGGGGAACATGGAAAAGAATGGTGGGGTATCATAAATAGGGTCACATGCCATTTTAAAACATACAGTCATACAGTCGACTTTCTACATTGTTAGAAGGCACATCGAATATGGTACAAGATTCAAGTATATCTCTGCCAACAGGGCAATTAATGCCTATTTTGGGATTTGGAACTTGGAACGTAAGTTTATAAAGAACCAGCTTGTATTATATAAAAACTCCAGGTGAAATTTATATTTATATTATATTTTAATATGCGACTTATATATTTATAACAAATATATTTTTTATTTGATGACTGACTCTCTAAAAATGGCATGTTAACTGAGTGAATTTCATTTGTATCAAAGAATTGAGGCCTCTTTTTCGCGATGCTGATTGGTTGTCTCAAATTTTGCATCGCGGCGTGTTTCACTTGTGTTGCTTCTGTGGCTGTCAATTTCGAAAAACTTTTTACTAAATGGCGCGCGCGTAGCACGCGCTTGTAGCGTTCTAGTATATATTAAAAAAGGTATATGTTTACAATACAGGCAAGCGGGGAGGAACTAGAAGCAGCTCTGAATGCAGCTTTAAAAGCAGGGTATAGGCACATAGATACAGCTACGGTATATGAAAACGAACACATTATTGGTAAAGTCCTGAAAAAATGGTTGGATTCTGGTAGAATCAAACGATCTGACTTGTTTATCGTGACTAAGGTAACACTCAAATTTCCATATTTATTTTAAGCACAATATGAATACTAATATCTATATGCAAGAATAATAAATCGAAAAACATCTTGTGCGTATATTAGCATACACTCAACTGCATGAGCTACTACAGCACATTATACATATTTTAATGATAATTCGAGCTTATCTCTGTTCGTTATTATTCATATATATATATATATATCTGATCCACATTAAAATGTACAAATTGTTTCTAAGGCCATGCTCTATAACTTGCAACTTTTGCTTCCTCATAGAGGAAGCTTTGTGATGGTGAAAAAAAATTTTTTCGAGATTTTGATGGAAATAGGTTTAGAATGTTCCAAAATGTCGAGAAATCATATTAGTAGAAAATGTCCGGAAGTGTGTGTGTGTGTGTGTGTGTACGGATTTTTTTGTACACTTCTACAATTTTTTAGATATCGGGTTGAAATTTTGCACACAAATAGAGTATCATAGAAAGTATGTTCTCCTCTAATTTTCTTAAAATCCGTCGACCGCGGTATAGATTTTAAGGGGATTTTCATTTTTTGGAAAAGCGTGTTTTACGCTGTAGCTTTCTCAATATTTGAGATATCGATCTATTTCTAATTCTATTAAATTCTTCAGTTTTTTCTACCCCTATTTCATATATAATTCTTTAAGATTTGGTTGATTAGATCCATTTTTATACGCGATCAAAGGTCCATAATTTTTTTAGAAATATGTGTGGCAATTTTTGAAATATCGGGCTATTTATAGTTTTATTATATTCTTGGCTTAATTGTCTAGATCGGATCATGATCTAAGATCGGTATGATCCAAACAATTAAGTCAAGATCGGGGCATGATCCAGACAATTAAGCCAAGATCGGGACATGATCATTTTGCTTCCTATGTACGGATTCTTCATAACTTCAAACGGTTATAGCTCAAGAACTAATGAACTAAAATTATATATAAAATAGGGGTAGAAAAGACTGAAGAATATAATAGAATTAGAAAAATTGCCAATAATTTTTATATAGGTATTTAGAGAATTATTTTAAAGTAAAAATAAAAAATTAATGTATAAATAAAAAAATAAAACAAAATGGAAAAATTAAGAAATATCTGCAATTAGTAGGGATCACTTTAGTAAAAACATTAATTATATTATTTAATTGATTTTTGTAATAGTATAACAGATATTAGTCGCAATAAAGCTTATCATAATAAAAAAAAGGTGTGCAAGTATACGGATAATTTTTTGTTATATTTTACCCTTAAATTCACTACAAACTTGGGAAAACAAAAGTAAGAAAAATATTGACAAAGATATATATGTATATATGAATGTATTTACAGCGTATATGAGCAATTGTGCACGGGCTTGTGTTATATGTACGGCATTTGTATGCAATTTCATGATGCAAAATTCATTAAATGGAAATGTAGTGCTTGTTTTAAAACGTTTCACCTTTTATTAAACCGCTCAAACACAGTTATTTTAACAGACGTTTTAAACACATTTATTATAGATTTTAAAATATTTCCCGTGGTTTCCTGGGTAAATGACCATTATTTCCTTCTTATTTCAACCTCAAATAAGGTGGAAAAAAATGTTTCATAGGTTTCCCATCGGGGCACAAAACGGCCACTTTTACAATCCCTCCTTTAAAAAATTATTGAAATTTTCCACATATATTTCAGTAAAATTAATCAAACATATTTTATATTTTAATGTAATAGATATTAATATTTTTTATTATGGTGGATATTAACCAGAGAATAGCTCGTATAAAATTCTTGGTGGTCCCACAACTACCATGATTTCAGGGTAAATTTTAAGAGAAAATTCTCTCCGTGTAGAAACTTGCACATTGCTTCCTCATAAGTGTGAAAATAGAAACTTGCACATTGCTTCCTCATAATTTTTAAGCGGGCAAGTAGAAACTTGCACATTGTTTCCTCATAGTTTTTAAGTGTGTAAATTATAAATTTGAACATTACTTCCTCACAATTTTCAAATATGCAAATTATAAATTTGGCTAAGGAAATTAATAAATTTCCTTATAGAGGAAGCTTTATGAGCGAAATAAAATGTTGGTTGAGCAACGTACAAATTTATAATTTGCATACTTGAAAATTGTGAGAAAGTAATGTTCAAATTTATAATTTGCATATTTAAAAACTATGAGGAAGCAATGTGCAAGTTTCTACTTGCCCACTTAAAAACTATGAGGAAGCAAATGTGCAAGTTTCTACTTGCACACTTAAAGACTATGAGAAAGCAATGTGCAAGTTTCTACTTTTTTAAACTTTCTTTAAAAGCTTTAGGGGGGAAATTTATATTGAGATAACAATATATCATTCGTTTTGTATGTTCATATTTATATTATGCTTAATATCTAGGTACCTGCGAGTGGTAACCGACCTGGAGACATAGAAAAGTGGCTCAAGAGATCACTTTCTAACTTGCAATTGAGTTATCTCGATTTATATTTGGTGCATACTCCATTTGCTTTCGAAGATGCTGGAGAAGTGTTACATCCCTTTAATGAAAAAGGAGAAATCAAAATTGATCCAAGTACGGATCATTTGCAAATTTGGCCGGTAATGGAGAAGCAAGTGTTGGAGGGACGTACAAAAGCGATTGGATTGTCAAACTTCAACATTGCCCAAATACAAAGAATTTTGAATAACGCTAAATTGCCCATTTCAAATTTACAGATTGAATTGCATGTGTATTTTCAGCAGAAGGAATTGGTAAATTTTTACTTTACAAATGTCCCATTCGTTCATGTCTAGACTCTAGATACATATCGCTTTATAAAACTGAAAGTATACCTATGTTGATATTCTTTTTGTGTCAGGTGAAGTTTTGTCAAAATAACGACATCAGCGTAACGGCGTACTCTCCTTTGGGTTCACGTGGATTAGTCGAAAAAATCGGAAAGGGAGACGCTGTGCCGAACTTATTGCAAAATGTTACTGTGTTAGAAATTGCAGAAAAATACGAAAAGACTTCCGCTCAAATATTACTCAAATGTATCATTCAAAAAGGTATAGCAGCCATACCGAAAAGCATCAATCCGTCAAGAATTAAAGAGAACTTTGAATTATTCGATTGGGAACTCGAAGCTAAAGATGTCGACAAGTTAAATGCTCTTGACATGGGAGAATCCGCACGTATATGCGATTTCAGTTTTTTTAAGGGTGTCTCAAAGCACCCGGAATTTCCTTTCTAAGATTACGTTTTGATTTTATCTCTTCTATGCTACGTTTCATCTTTACCTCTCGTTGTTGTTATTTGTATTATATAACAGTTTAAAGATTGTTATTCCATGTAAAACTATCAGAATCCAATAAATAATCGACGTTTGTTGTAATTTTGTTTCTGCCACATTTTGTTTCTTTCTTACGTTACATAGCTATTTAAATATTGTTATTTTTTTATGTAAAACTTGATTTATTCTAATCTAGTAAATAATTAATTATAACTGCTGCTATCTTTATGTGAATTTCTAATACCTTATTGGGCTCAAGGATATGTCTCGCTCTTACTGCTGTAATTCTTACTGTATTGTCAAACAAATCATTTTATAGATAATAAAAGCAATACAATTAGACGAATTGAATCAATTTCTATAAAGATCCTTTTGCCATGTATAAAGTTTCTTGTCATAAAGTTTTTTCTACTAAAAGTTAAACTTATACATATATAATGCTAATAAATTTTCATTTATATCGTCGTATAAAATTTTCTATGCAATATACAAGCAATTAACTATAAAGATGTCAAGGCATTTTAAGAGATATATCTGAAAATGTAAGGTGCTTTCACGAAACCTACTTTCACCTCAATCATTTCAAGCCATTTTCGTTCTTTTCGTGACCGCCGTTTC